TAAGACGAGCGCGCGAACCTTGGAACCGAGGGTAATATTTACCGACGTCTTTCTCCCGCCTGGGGAACATTTGCATAAGGAAGACAAGGATCAGCGAAACGGAGAGAGCGTCATGACTACAATAGCTAGATAATTTACAGTCCAGGGCAAGGACAGGTAATCGTCGGCACGGGCGCCGAACAGCGGCAAACGTGGCGCAGTGACTTCCCTCGGTGTCTGCCAAGCTTTTCAGAAAGTGGGCGGGGCCGCTGTAAGGGAGGGCTTGTTACCAGTTGCCGTTCAAATGAAGGGGGCTCTCCACTGGACTATCAGTAGGACTGGTAAGCACCCGGCTTGCCTTAGTCAGTAGAATCACAGAATCCTAGAATCACAGAGTTGGAAGGGGCCATACAGGCCATCTCGGTGTCGTGGTTAAGTCTGTGGACTCTAATCTGGGAGAACCGGGCTTGATTCCCCAACTCCTACACTTGCACCTGGCTGGATGACCTTGGGCAAGCTGTAGTTCTGATAAGAGCTGTTCTTGAAAGAACAGTTCTGGAAAGAGCTCTCTCAGCCCCACCTACCTCACAGGGTGTCTGTTGTGGGGAGGGGAAGGGAAAGGGGTTTGTAAGCTGCTCTGAGACACCAAGTGAAGGGCAGGGTATGAATCCAATCTCTTCTCTTCTTCTTCATCTCGTCCAACCCCCTGCTCAATGCAGGATCAGCCTAGAGCATCCCTGACCAGTGTTTGTCCAGCCGCTGCTTCAAGACTGCCAGTCAGAGGGAACTCACCACCTCCCTAGGCAGCTGATCCCACTCTTGCACAACTCTGACTGTCAAAGTGTTTCTCCTAGGATCCAGCCGGGACCTCCCCACCCTTGATTTAAACCCGTTATTGCGAGTCCTCTCCTCTGCTGCCAACAGGAACAGCTCCCCTCCTTCACCAAATGACAGCCCTTCAGATACTTCAAGAGAGTAATCCTGTCCCCCCCCTCAACCTCCTCTTCTCCAGACTGAACATTCCTGTGTGGTTCCACTCCTCCTCCAGGCTCTCCTTCTTCCCAGAAGATGCGAGAAGGGAGGCATTCGTTTTGGATGCGCCTCTGGGGCTTGGCTTTGTCTCCTGCAGAACCCGTTTCTGAGGTGGCACTCACCACCCTTTCACAATTCCAAATGTGTCCACAGGCGACCCCTGCTCTGACCCAAAAAGTAGGGGTGTCACCAAGCCCAGGTGGCACTAGAATACAGCTCTGCACCTTTTCCTTGGGCCTGGACACTAACAAACCCCGACTATTTAATACGGGGACCTACAACGTTGTTCTTGTGGG